TATTATAATATTAAATATTAGTCAATAAATTATTCTTAAAAATTAGCGAATAAAAAAATTGTCCAGTAATAATGTAACAGTACACAAATATGATACAATAGTATAACAAAAAACAAATAAAACGAGATTTATAAATTATATACACGTGGTACGTAACTTGCAAGTCACATGGCGTTTGCAGGGGGTTACGGTTATACAGGGGTTTTTTATTTCAATAACATAGGAAATTGATTCTTTCACACTTAGTTTTAGAAACTACAGTAATTCCAGACCTGTTTCTGCTCTCGATATGGAAACTCGTATTTTAAGAAGAGTGGTAGAAAATATTGGAACTAGTACTAAAGGGTTAGACCATCTCTGAGGTTTGAAAAAATCGAATTATTTTTGATTTTGCTTAAATTCATAGTTTATGCATTTAAAATTATAATCCAAATAGTTTTAATGAAAAATTTCCATGGTTTTATGCCATTAGAGCAGATTTAACAATGCGTGTCAATCAGTAATCGAAACTTTAAACGCGTTTTTCTCAGAATGACACTTTTAAAGTCGATGTTGTCTATAACTTCGACAATTTTCATCCGATTCACTTGAAATTTTTATAATATACTCTCTGTTATTATAATCTAGAGAAATCGAAAATTGATTCTTCACTCATGGGTGGTTTCACGAACGACATTCTAATGTAACATCCAGCTGAATATTTACAAAAACTGTATTATTACTTTTTAGGATGTTGAACATAGTTATTTTGGAGATATCAACGAGCAGGTAGAGGAAGTTTCTCAACGATTGTCACAAAATGAACATCTTAAAAATGGATTTAACGCGATTGGATTTTCTCAAGGTGCTCAATTTCTGTAAGTAACCACTTGTGAAGAGATTCGTGAGATTATCTAATGGAAGGTGTATATAGTATAAGAAGAATATTCAGCATTTCTTCGAGATATCGGGAAATTCCTTTCGAAATGAACTTTTTCTTTTCGTTGTTTCGTCTTTGTGCTTTCACATTTTTCAAGAAGACCGTGCAATATGTATTTGGGGTCGTTGAACTCGTCTCGGTACTTTCTACCGTTTTATAGAAAAAAATATACCGCGTGCCATTTAAACTTCCAAATGACCTTGATACTTCCGCTAATTATAAGTGAATTTGCAGTTACACACTTTCATTTCCAAGCATTTATATGTAGATTAAAATGAGTCACCCTGTATAAATGAATTGATCGTGGAACCGGTGGATCTATATTTCCCTAAATGAGATATGTATTGAAAAAATAAGTTTGAAGAAAAGTATTTGTATATTGCAGAAGAGCAGTGGTTCAAAGACATCCTAATATTTCGATTAAGAATCTAATTTCATTGGGTGGACAACATCAAGGTGTTTTTGGATTGCCAAGATGTGGATCAGCGAAACGCAACGTTTGCCGTTACATAAATCGCATGATCAAATATGGAGCCTACTTACCGTATTTATCTTTAACGATTGTTTCAGTTTCTCTCAAATATACAGCGTGGGCCACGTAAAACGGGCCATCTAATTATCTCCTCCAGTTATGGTCGTACGAGGAAATTTTTATATGTAATTTAAATGGTTTTAAAGGGTGGACAAAGCGGAAGAAAAATTGTTTCGATGGAAGAAATGGTAAAAAATGAAAGGAAGTTTCACGTTTGATTAAAAATTTTAGAGTACAAAGTCATTTTAAATGCAGACGAATGCCTACTACAACATACAGTTGAAAAGAATGTATAATGCATTTATAAAAGAATTTCACTCTCATCTTATTCACACTTTAAAATTATTTAAATTACGTATAAAAATTTTCTCGTGCGACCGTAGCTAAAGAAGATAACTAACACGTTAAGCGCCAAGCCTGTTTTGTCTTCCTTTCCGTTTAGCCCGCGATATCCGATTTCACCGATATGCTGGCGGCCGGAGATCTGTGTAAGGTTGCGATAAGACTGCATGTGTTTTAATAATACTCGTTAAAATTTCTTTTTGGTAGCAAGTAATATTTACGTACATTCTTTTATGATCTCCAAATTATTTAAAATTTATTAATAGAAGAATATAATTTTTTAAATTGTATATCGCCGCCCGAACGAAAATTATACCGTCAGTCACCGGTGACTGACGCGGCCCGAACGAAAAGTATACCGTCAGTCGCCGGTGACTGACACTATGCATTTCTTTCACCGGTGACTGACGCGGTCCGAAAGGAAAGCACAGTGTCAGTCACCGGTGACTGACATGGTGCTTAACGTGTTAAGTGGCCCACCTTGTACAACATTACGTTAAATACATACACTGGTCTTACTTGGAGTGACGTATAACAAATTATTCGATCTGTTTTTGAACAGTTTTGTTAATGACGATTTATCTATCAATTTTTTGCAATCTAATTACGTTTAGATATTATTTTTATATTTACACCGCGATGTGGTTTTATTTTAACACAGAATCGTTCAGGAAAACTTTATTCAAGCTACGTACTGGCATGATCCATACCAGGAAGAAGAATACAAAAATAAAAGTACATTTATCGCTGACATTAATAACGAACGTGTCATCAATAAGGTGCGTTATATTAAAAATTATTATATTAATGGATCACACTAAGACACAAATCTATGAAACATATGTTTTAAATTTTCGTTACAAGCTCAGATAAGAACGTTGCAAAAGTGACCTTTACAATTTTCTTCGCGATTCCCACCAATTGCAATTTTTTCAAAAGTTTTTGTACACGTCTTCCAGTAAACCAATCCTTTTAACTTCCAAAAAAGACTCACGTCGTTTGGGGCAATTTAAAAGGAAGTCACACTGTCCTAAAAGGTGTTGGAGTATTAATTCGGGTAATTGTACGAACTAAACTACGCGTGCTTAGCCGATATTCCTCTCGAAATTATGCAACAATTACGCTCGTACAATGCACGAGAATTTCTTCGATATACTGGTGTTACGCAATTCGCTACTATTTCATGCGTAAACGATGTCTGAATTTTTTTTTCCAGACGTACAAAGAAAATCTTCGAAAGCTAGAGTCCTTGGTGTTAGTTAAGTTTGATAAGGATACCATGGTTTGGCCCCGTGAATCAGAGTGGTTCGGATTCTATAAACCGGGACAGGGTACAGAAGTTCAAATATTCGAGGAAACTGACTTGTATCGAAAGGTATGAAAATGAATTGATGAAACCAGACGAAGTTAAGACAGCGGTGTGTGAGAAATTGGTTAATTAGTTTATTGAAAATTCCAGCCTCAAGGGCCAAGGAATGGACTTGGTTCACATTAAATCTTCTCTTCCACTCATAACATTTATTATGCGTATACAGTTTGCTTACACTATTGTAAATTTATACCAATAAGCTTCATCTGTCTTTTCGTTACACGTATCGTCGTCTGTTTTACGAGTAAGTTAGAAAAAGAGGGAAATTGTATGAAATCCTGAATTCCTGTCGTTTTATGGCAACGATGCGTCGAAGAGGAGTGGGTAAAATGGCGCAAGAGGCTTCACTCGTGGACAATACTTATACTGCGTTTCATGATTATAAAAGTATACCGAAGACTTGAATACAGCACGTTCTTTACTTGCCTTTCTGTGTAAAGTTGTGCATATTCGTTATATTCAGTGCCACATTTACGCCTCCCTCCCTTTCGTGGGGTCACATTTTAAAACCTTGCGTTATTTTTATTTTATTAAAATGAGCTGTTACGGGAGTGTGTCGACATTTATTTTTAACAAACTTAAAGAAAAATGTGTATAAATTTGATTAACCGAGATAGACTTGTTCTCTTGAGGCCTCGTAATGATGTCATATTTATATTGTTTTCCAATTAAATGAAAATTTTCTAATAATTTTACAGTTATTATTATTTTCGAGCAATTGTTGGAAAAATTAGTTGTCATTACAATTGCACTTTAGAACAAATAATTGCATTTATAGTTCTATTACAATTACAATAAATGTGTTAACAAAGAACCATTTTTCAGGATCGCTTAGGACTGAGAGCGTTACACGACTCGGGAAAAATTCATTTTCTTTCCGTACCTGGAAATCATTTACAATTCACGGAAAGCTGGTTTATAGATAATATAATTAATGCGTATCTGTTATAACAATAATTATATAACTGTAAGAAATGCATGTGAACAAATGTTAATAGTAGTTTAGAACATTTGTATATACGATACGGGATTATAGTATGTATTTTTGTTACCGGAAAATATTCTATTCGCACAATAAAAGAACACAAAAAGAACGAACCTGAATGCAATATTATTGTTACAAAATTATCATTGTATATATATATGTATATGTTAAGTACATATACTCAGAATTTAAAGATGAAACAGCAGTGAAGTGAGATAGAACTAAGGTGAATGGTTCTTTCTTTTAATCGTATTCCAGCTAGAACATGTAACGGGCTGACAGCATAACAACATTGTTCTACTGCCTGAAGTAATTGTGAGTATGTTTAATTGTTAACCCTCGGACAGCGAATAGCGCGATAATCGCACGCACCACGGATGCCGGGTCAAATATGACCCAGTACTAAAATCGTTTTCCTACGCAAGCGAAACTACATTTTTCTATTTTCCTAAGCATTGTATTGTTTAAAATTTTACAAATATATCGTGATCAACATATAATAAACATATTTATAGTATAAGCAGAGAAGAATCGTGACTTTAAAACGCGAGATATCTAAAAGCCGGGTCAACGATGACCCTGCATCCGCCGTCCGAAGGTTAAGGGGTCTTCCTACTGTGACGGCCGTAAGAAGCTTAATTTTTCGGAAATTTAAAGCAAGTGCTACACGTATCCTTTTGAAAATTTGTGTGTTTATTCTATCATCTTTTGAGAACACAAAAATATTTTTTTTAAGTGAAAATACTAATTTGTTGTAAAATAGGACCACCGTGAAGAGAGCGCCTTGAGAAATATCCTTCCCGATGGCTGACATGATATCACGCGTTGTACTTATCCAAAATAATCTGTAAACGTGTGGCTATCGTCTGAGCTAGAATAATGGTCTTTTGGTAATCGTGTCAGCCAGTTTCAAAAATGCTGTTCCGAGAAAAAAGAAATTGCTTTCGATTTTAGCAAAAAGAATGATGGTTTTCTTGACCGCAAAGACTGAATTTTGAAAGTATTTGCACAATTCTAGTTCAGACGATAAAGCAACATCTACTGAATATACCTGACAAATTTGGAGTGGATCGGACCTCTGGTCTTTTGGTAATCGTGTCAGCCAGTTTCAAAAATGCTGTTCCGAGAAAAAAGCGTTTAAAGTTATAAGTACAGTTTAAGACTATATAAAACCGCTTCCTTTGAAGGCATATGTCTCCGCTAATCTTGAGAATTAAGCTTTCAAACTTCGTGGACATATTTTCGAGATGTTAAACTGTAAATAAAATGTAAAAAAAAAATGATGTCTTCAATCCGTCGCAGTAGGAAGACCCTTGAAGTTTCGAGATTGCACGTCGCACAGTAGTCTGAAACCTCAAAAACGTGGCATAAACTCAGCAGTAGAGTTTTTAGAAAAAATTTTTGCATGCGCTTATTTTATAAGTTTGTGTCGACAATTTCCACTCATTTCTTACAAAAATGAATTTCCTTATCCCCCCTAAAGGAGCCCTGTTGTTTAATGAATTCAAAATATGCGTGTAAACATATGTATTTTTTACAACTTTTTTGTTTTCTAAACAAGTGGTACAAAGCAGTATTATTTTGTAAGCTACCCCTATTTTACCTTTTAATGGCTCATAGAAAATCATCCGTGTTTGAAAACAACCCAAAAAGGATCATTTTTCATGATAAAATAGATCGAAAATGCAAACTAGCATTTTATCAGATGAAGCCACGTTTTCGGGTAAATCCTTATTAAAAATTGATCGAATATACTCAAGAAAATGTAATATACATATAATGTACAGAATAGAATTATCCAAAAATTTGTAAGTAAAAAAACGTAGGTTACTTTGAACAATTTTTGCATTAATGAAAAACAGGTCCGAAAGAAAAACATTTTTGTTTCGTTGTTTATTATGATTAATATGAACAACAATGCAAATACAAACGTTGCAACGATGTCTGTTAGAGCGAGATGGAGGAGAGTTCATGCATAAGTGGACGCGTATTCAATGAATATTCAATATCGATTTACGTGAAAACTAAGCTTCGTATGAGAAAACATTACTCTCCACTTTAGATTTATTTTTTCGCCTTGAATCACGAACTTTCGAGTTACGTTACCAGTTTACCGACAGTTTAGATAGATTCGATACATTTCTTCTCTAACATATCAGAGTCAACGGTAAGTTTTATTATTGTACAAAAGAAAATCTAGCAATACTTTTCTTTTCTTTCACATATGCATATGTACATGATATGAATTTTAAATATTAAGATTTATACTTGTAATAATGTAATTCAAACGCTTATAAGAATTTAGCTAAGTAATTTTTGAATACAACAGTATGGAAATTTGAATATTAATATTTATATTTGATGTATATAATTTTATCAATTTTCTCTACTTTTTGTTTCGTGGAGTTAACCGATCTGGCAAACGAGCGGCTCAAGTGATAAACATAGTGAGATAATATATATGTTCTTCGTATTTGAACTGCTGTTACTTCACACATTCGCAGTCGGTAATTTTTTCAGTTTTCTAATATTGAAAGCCGGTTAAAATAAATTCAAAAGCTGGTTGCCACAGACTTCTGTCATTAAGACAAGAATGAAAACTATAAAATTTGTTTTCAAGAGTGCTCAAAATCGTTAAATATAATTCCGCGGCAGCTAAAAAAAGCTTACTAAATGACGTGAATTCTCGTTAACGGCATCCAAAAGGAGTAAATAAGACAAAGATAAAAATTGGAAAATCTGTTTTCAAGAGTGCTCAAAATTGTTAAATACGATAACTCAGCGGCGATCAAAAGAAGCTTACTAAATGACGCGAATGTGTTAATATCAAAATTAAGCGTCAATTGATGATATAATTGTTTCGAAGAAACATTGCAAAAGAAGTATTCGTATACGAGTAATCGATACCTCGCGTAGTCAGCCTGTACCGCGTATTACAACGTGATTATTGTTGCAATTGTTTATGAAAAAAGAAAAGAAACTGTAATCGAATCGTAACGACGAGGATTAATTAGAATAACAAGAAAGGGGAATAAAAAGTAAGGTTGTAAGGAAAATTTGCGGAGAAATAACAAGCGTAGCTAGTGTCAGTTTAGATAGACCTTGGAAAGGGGGCCATATATTTTCATCGAGCGTGCTGGTAGCTCTATCCGAGGGAGCGGAAACAACAGGGTATATTATGGAATACTATCCGCAATAGGTTCCACAATCTCGGTAGCCATTGTTTCGTGGTACCTACAGATGTGCTCCATTGTCGGTCTATCGGTACTCTTGCTCGAAAAGGAGAAAGAGAAAGAAAAAAGAGAGACGTTTACGAAAGGAACGTATCAATTCTTTGTCGTATCAGTATATCTGTAGGAGTATCTAACGGGTGACATGTTTCGAAGTCGTGTTTTTTATTTTTCATAATAATAAATATGCGATATAAGAGGTTACAATTTTATCGATAAATATATGCTTCGTATGTTAAGGAAATTCTATCGGGAGAACTGAATATCGTAGAATGACGTAATAGTGAATGGCGTTTTTAGGTTAAAAATGTTATTGTCTTTTAAAATTTGCACTCGTTTAACGCTTAATCTTAAAAAAGTATGGGAAAACAAGTGTTCGGTGAAACGATGTGTGAACGAAGCGTTCGAATAAAGTATCGAAATTTATACAGTTACGAAAATTTCGTATTATTTTCAAACTGTAGAACTCGTTTTCTGTCACTATGTTGGCGTTACGCGTAGATGGAACACACGCGTGTGCAAACGTGCCTACTGTGCTAAAGGTATTCGATAATTATGCAGTTAACTGCGATGCAATAATTATTTGTCACTAAATAACCGTGTTTATTAATTAAACCTATATTTGCATTAGTGTTATACAGGCTGAAGTGGTATGCTGTAAAAATGTACGAAATTCAGCGGAACGTTTTTGAGTAAGTTCGTTTCAGTGCTAATGCGTTTAACATTGCAACGTTGAATTCCTTGGAAATTAAGGTTAAATGAAAATTTCTGAGATTAGCGTTTTATTTCATCTCCATTAAGGGGCGTATCTCGCGAAATAAAGGCGTCGAAGGTATTTCTGGGGAAAACCATTCCTCGATGCAAAGTTGTTAAATGATATTTCAGATGAATATAGCAAACCGTAAATGAAATTTAAGAAGGAATTGAAATTCTATGTTAAATCAATTATTTGTTTGTAAGGAAAAATCAAAGAAACGAGTTACTCTAAAGGTATTTGTGCAGTTTATCTGTAAAAGGTGAAATCTACGAGCGACTGTTTTTACGCATTTTTTCAAACTGCTTTTGTACACTAGACAAGCAACGGAAGAATGCCTAGAAAGGTTGCAAGTTGCATTGGTGTATATGTAGTCAAAAGAATAATGCGGACAAAATATGTATTATCCGTAGATGCAGTATCCAGATTTAATTGGATTTACGCACTCGTACATACGTGAAAATTATGCAGCACTGTGACAAGCTAAATGAAACATTCACAGGCGTATGTACGTCAACGCGTATAAACAACTTGTTAATAAAAACAATTGACGCGATCGAAGATGCGTACCGATGCATTTTTACACGAATAAAGTGCTATCTTTTCGTATTGTTATTGCATTTACGCAGGGCTGCATTTGCACTTTCGGAGGCCCTAGGCGTAACACCATTACGTGTCCTCAAAGGAACAAGTCTTAAATAAATTTGGCATTTCCGCTTTTCAGCGACCTTTTATTTTCACATAACGAATTTAACATTTGAAAATCAGTATTTTATTTCGCAACTATAGCTAGGCTGTTTTTCATATTGTCGCTTGCGAGGAGTAAGGTTTTAAAATGCGGCCCCATAGAGAGCGAGGCCCCAGCTTGCGTCTAATGCGCCTTATGGTAAACACGGCTCTGTTTTTACGAATACCTATTAAAATACAAACGAACGAAATTTTCTAACGTTATTTCGAACTTGTATCGTGCTTATATGTTGCA